AAAGCTTACACAATGGGCTATCTGTGCTGTGCCCACCACAGATATTGAAACCCACTCTTAGCGTCATAAGCCTTCAGATTTACCTCTGTGTCATCACTGGAGGCTTTTGTTCAATGTAGAGTACTCAAAATAATATTTTATAAGTAAAATCTGGTAGATATATTTTTTAAAGTTTCAAAATATTACGTATATATATATATATATATATATTGTAAAATTCATAATAATCTTGAATATTTTCAAATTTTGATGCCACTGTACAAACAGATATTAAACAATACGTTTAATATGCGGGGTAGAAAATAAAAATACTGAAAATATTTAAAACATTTCATTTATAACTAGCCCTATACGAGTTCAATAGAGTGTATAATTAGTTTTCAAGTAAAGTTGTATACCCAGTCGGAAAATTGTACTCATGAGAGGGAAGATTTTTCAGCGACAGCCTTCAACAAACAAAATATAGGTGAATTACTCTTAGGTAGTATTTTTACTGATAACTTATGTTGATCAGTTTAGTTGATGCATTTAAAAATCGGTACGTCTGCAGACTTACAATGCTACAAACCGGGATTCGATACCCGTAGTGCGCAGAGCACAGATAGCCCATTGTATAGCTTTGTGCTTAACTTCAAACAAACAAACATAAAAAATATTTTCAATTTTGTATTGTAAAATTTGGCATCTTATTAAGGATCATACTTGGCAGCTTAGATGTTGTACAAAATAATATACGATAAAGGATCATACTTGGCAGCTTAGATGTTGTACAAAATAATATACGATTAAGGATCATACTTGCCAGACTAGATATTGTACACAATAAAATATGAATGAAAATTTGTAGTGCGTAATTGTACATTAAATAAACTGCTAATTTTACTAATTGTTACTGAATGTTCATTAAAATATTTCGAATTAATGACCTTATTTAACATCCTTACTGAAATAACTGATCAGTAACAAGTCAAATTATTTATCATAAGATCGATGTGGATATTACTTAGATAAATAAATTAACACTAACAATCCTAATCTAGCAGATAAAATATGCTTTATAAGGCAATAAAGTCACGAACATTAATTATCCAATATTACATATATATTTAGTAATTCATAATTGTTTTGTATTAATATCAAATGAAGTGTATTAACGTCTTTGTATCAGGTCGTAGTTTAGGGATTAGAGTTTTCTGCTTATTAAAGTTATTAATTTATTATCCTTAGCATGTTCCATATAATATGTAAATCACAAAATACACCTGTCTAAGATATATGTACCAATGACGAGAAAATACGTTCAGAGATTGTGATTGCACGATATCATTATGTTTTTCTCCACATTGGATAAAAAAATTAAAACTTACCTCTCAACTTACACAAAACACATACAGAAAAGTTTGATCAAATTGATTTTAGACAAACAAAGTCTGAACATTGAAAAAATCCGCTTTCAGAAAAGTATGATGAAATAGGATTATAAATTACAATACTATAAACGTCTAAAAATTAAACAAAAGTATGAAAGCTTTAAAGGCTTGAATTACTCCATACACACCAAATGTAATATTCATGGTATATGAAGCTTTATACGTGACAATTATGCTTTGGTGTTAAGTAATTCATTAAGCAGTTCCAACTTTGTCATGCGTTTTTGGAATACAGACTTTAAATACCACTAACAGCGAAAGTACTCAACTAACTACTTAAGGCAGAGTGGTCATACAGGCTTTTTGCGGTTTGACTGTCATTCATAATTAACACTAATTATTATTCACTGTAACTTTTATTGATGATTTTTAGCATCTTTTCTAGTAGAAATTATTGTGATGGGAGGGTTTAGATTGCGGATGTTTATGTGACCATTTAATATTTTTTACTTTTTACCAAATGATTAGGGCGCTTGACTTATAACCTGTTGGTTTCGGGTTCGAATCCCCGTTCTACCAAATCCGGTTGCTCTTTCAGCCGTGGGGGCGTTATAATGTGTCCGTCAATCCCACTGTTCGTTGGTAAAAGAATAACCCAAGAATTGGCGGTGGGTGGTGATAATTATCTACCTCTTCTCTTGTTTTTTTTACTGCTAAATTAGGGATTGCTACTGCAGATATCCCTCGTGTAGCTTTGCGTGAAATGTTTTTTTTTGTTGTTTAAAGTTAAGCACAAAGCTACATAATGGGCGACCTGGGATCTGCCCATCACGGGTATCGAAACCCGGTTTCTAGCGTTGTAAATCCGCAGATATACCGTTGTCCCACTGGGGAGCCGCGCAAAATTCAAAACAAACCAAACCTTAATAGTTAGAAATACCCATACCCCACTACAGTGGTTTGAATATATTTTTTATATCATAGCATACAAAAAATCAACAGTAAGGAAATGTTGCAGGTGTGAATTCTATAGAAATTACTTGAATTTAACAGGCCTCTCACGTTGCTGTTGTTTGATAGAGTTACGAAAGATTAAATAGGTAACTTTGTATATGTTTTGATAATTAAGAGGAAATTATCACTTGTAATACAACGAGAATTCTGGTTAGTTATAGTAATTCAAGTTTACAGTTGCAATGCATTAAAATATATTATCTAATAATTATTTTCAGCGATAAGTTTACTTTCAGAGCTCCATTGGAATTATCTTCTTGTCTATGTGGTTACAGTATGCAGTTTTGTTTTATTATTGTAATTATTTTATACATGTACATCTCTCGAAATCTTAATCAGAGTGTAGTTGAAAATAGAGCTAAATGATACACTGTTTCGTTGGAGCATGTTTTCGGGAAACGAACCCAATAATACGAAAGACGTACCTTGTTTTCTTAAGACATGAAACTCAATTTGTTTGGTGAAATTTCATTAGACTGACAACTGCTAAACTCACACGAAATAACAGGGTGTTCTGAAACATGAAGAAGACTACTTCTTCATGAAGGCTTATGCAAAGTAAGAAATTACTTTTAGTGCTAATTTAAAATTGTGTTAGAATTCTAATCAATAATTCTGTTCTTAGTGAAACAACTGAGAAAAACTTAGCCTTAGTTTGCTACAGAGAAAGATGTATGTATGTATATAATGTGTGTGAGTAGCTTTCATTTCATATATTAAACCACACTGTAATTACCTTTATTTTAACTAAAAGCATGGCTTCAACTGAGAATTAATATATAGGAGTTAAAGTTTATCTTCTGTTATAGTAGCACATTTTTGGATGGTGTGTTTATGTAAATTAATTCAATATGATAAAAGTTAGAGATAATTGTATAATATTCATTTAAATGTATATTATTATCTTGCTACAAAGTTTATAGACCAATAAACGAGAAGTGATTGTTGTGTTTAAAGTCATTTATAGTTATACATTAATATTTTTTGTGATTCAAAGAAAAAATTGAATAGTCTGTAGTTATAACTAAAAAATTTAGAATATAAATTACAGAATCATTTAAAGAGTTCAAAAATATTACCGCTTTCTAAGCTTGCTTGTCTAAGATTAATTGGATATATATACACGAAAATTTATAAGTTATCTCATTCAAAAATGTTTTTCTTAGTAAGACTGCTAGGTTAATAAATGACAGACATAAGTATAAACAGGTTAAAAGAAATTTAGTGTCTCATTCAGAAAGATGTAGGATTCGTTTGCACAGAAGGTTGACTGCACTTTATAAAACTTATATGCTAATGTAGTGTCGTGTCTCCCTGGATGTGAGACGTGGCGTCATGGGCGACTTGTTTATCACAAATATATATGGTTCCCGGAAAATCTCCAACTCTTTTGACATTGCAGTGCCATCATGTATAAAACTAAGGTTGGTTGATATCTATTAGCTCTTTCTGAGGAAATATATATTCGTAGGTCGAGATTGTTAAACGATGTAGAACCAAAGGATGCAACACTGGAAAAAATAGAAAGTCTTCAATATTCTCTATAGAAGTGGACAAACTTCTAGTGTAAACTATAATTACGAAAGATAACACTCTGACAAAAACGACATTGTTATGAAGTAAGGTATATCTTCTGGTTTTATTAACAAGATAAGAAACAGGGTTTGAAAATTATGAATGCACATTACCAAGGTAATAATAATAAACAAGGATATGAAGAAGACGAAGATTCACAAGTCGAATGTGCACAAGCTTTCAACCATACTTCCAAATTAACAGCTGTTTTCATGAGAAATATGACCAAAAAAATTGAAATGATAGCAATTACATTCGACTTCATACCTGTCAGGTCCTTCGAAGCAATTCCTTTGGACGTTTCTGCTTTTAGCCTATTTAAACGTGGTGTTTCAAGCCGACGTCCACATAAAGTGGCGGCTCTGTGGAAAGTCAAATTGTGTGGTCCGAAACTAATGTTACCGATTTTTCATAATCTTGTTACTATAGAGATGGTAGTATTTGGTAACAGCATGTGATCATTGCTGTTTTTATGAAGTGCGATTAACTCTCAATATTAAAAAATAATTTTGTAATTTTCTCAACAAATTAAGGTGTTCAAAACGGTGGGTCAACGATAAGCTTATGGACTTACAATGCTAAAGTTTAGGGCTCGACTTTTCACGGTGGCCAAAGCTTAGACACCCCATTGCCTGGTTTTAATCTAAAAATCAATAACTTATCCACAAATCATTTAATATTTCAGCTGCTCTTAGAATTTCGACGAGTGTTCTAAAAGTGATATATAGTATAAAAGATATTTTCGAAGAGTCTCTCAAAAGCTCTGCCTAGGGTACATAAGTAATCCTTGAGTTGACGTGTTTCCTATATATCACTAATAAGATATTTTATTAAATAAATGGTGAAAGTAATAAGCGCCTGAAATATAAAATCAATTTTATGAAAATAATAGGAATTGAACTTTAAGAGTAAATCATTTTGAAAACAACATCAGCAATTATTAGAATACGTTTAGTTTCAGTTTATTTTCTCAATGTTTTAAGCTGAAATTTATCAAAAGAATTTAGAAGTTGAGTTAGAATTAGTTTAGAACTGACTTACCAAGGATAACCATATATTTGCAATTAACAGCTGATTTTTTTCATCCTATGGGAAAGAGAGAAACATCAATAACAGAAAAAAGCAATTGTTTATTCTAAGTACTGTAACTTAAAACCTACAAGTTGGCAGCCTTTAGGAAATAGTTTGAGATGAGGAAAGGTGGCAGGAAACATATACACGAATAACTGGACATTATCACTCAGAATCCTACAATACTTACCAGATTTAACCATATGTTTGTCACTAGCATTTGATTTTTTCATCCTAAGAGAAGTAAAAAGGCAAAGTATGAAAATTCCTAACTAGACACTTTTGTATAATTAACAGGCGTCAAGAATATCAAGCATCCATCGGTATTATGGTACAATTTCTGTAGTATTATTTATCATCAATTTCAGAGTGTGATCAAATCTAAGATCAATAAACATAACCATTTTTCCATTAGAACATGTCTGTTAAATAACGTGATTTAAATTGTTATATATATAAATATATATATATATATATATATATATATATGGTGTGTGTAAAACAACAATCTTATAAATATAAACTGCACTGTATACTTCCCGCATAAGCATGCACTACGCAATGAGACTAGTAGTTAAATTTCAAGCACATGATTACTTCTTTCGGTTTCTAGAACTATTGACATACTATATTGCGACTATCCTTCAGCAGTCATTAGTGAACTAATGTACTCCACGATAAATACACATAATCATATAAATCGCTTGTCAGTACTAGAAGAGATTTATAATACACGTAATTACGCAATACACTGAAACTATTAGTCTATAAATTAATCAGTTGCTGAGTTTTCTGTTTTATGATAAATTGATGTGTGTTGGTGTAGCCGAAATTTACTTACATTTTGTTTTCTTGACATCACAAAATAGTGCATTAGTCCGTTTCCACAGAACATATCTTAGTTCAAACAATTTTTTATATCAATACGTTTTTCTGAGGCATTTTATAAGTTACTTTCAAGTTTGGTATTAGTTTTCCATATGTTAATCCTTATAGCAACCAACATTAAGTGTGACGTCAAAGTGTAATTGCCCATTCATAACTCGGCATCAAATATCGTCAGCTAATGAGTTAAATTCGTTAAATTTACATTTAATTAGGGTCCAAATTTTAACACTTTTCGTAATCTACTTTTGATCATTTTAATTCTTCTTTACTCTTTTTACAAATTATTTTTATGTGGATTGAAAAATATATATATAATTAGGAATTTCTATTGTAAAGAGGGATATAAATCAATAAATAAAACAATGGTGATTTCAGAATACTGAGCGACGATTATATATGCATCTTAACTTAGAAATTAGTCGTGACTTGTATAATCACCTTCGTCTTTTACTTGCTTCTTATACATTAAGATTTTCTCAGCCTTATCTCTAGCACATACTTGGACTTAAAAAGCACGGCCCTGGTTTGTTGCTCAATGGTGTGAAACTCAATGCGTCAGAAGTAGTATTTATTAGGAAAATACATACTTATTGTAATCATAAGCACAAAAAAAAGCGTTTCTAACTTAACCGGGAAGTACAGCACCAAAAAACTTTTATTTTGAAACAGAAGTCTTATATTTGAATTTAAAGCAGCTTCACGTGTCATAAAAGACTATAAAATACGTACTATAATCCATCATTCTTTTGCATCAATGGCTTCCAGTGAGCCTTCGCACGGACGTTTTTATGAGCTGAAATATAGTTTATATCCTCCAACAATCTTAGCGTAGTCGCTCGAGATACTTCATGTCTAGTTTATGCCATGCTGCACAATGTTAGTGATATTATTATAGTTTTTTTTTATGAAATTAATGTGGCTTTTGAATTTTAATGAGGGGCCATATATTAAGATAAGAGCTCTACTGGTGACCGTATACATATATAAATGTACTAAAAGAAAAGAAAAATAGCAACTTATTATAATAATTTGAAGATATCATCAATTTATGCCAAAAAAAAAACAATGTTTAAGAAAACAAAAATGTAGATTATTACAATTTTGGTTTGTAATAAGCTTATTTTTGAAAATTCCTTTCAACAGATATTGTAAAAAGTAATGATCAGTTATAAACAAAAATATATTGGAAATATTACTGATTTTTGCCATCTATGTTTACTATAAAATTTCATGCTGTTGATATTGTAATGCGAAATACATTAGAATCTTTAAGCTCAATTGCATTAAACAACGTTAATCTTTGGATTAATATTTTAAATATGACATTAGAATCTTTAAAATAAAGAGAGAAGATAATTCTGAAAAATTGACTATAAATATCTATGATTTCTATCTTTAATATGGAATGGAATAAATCTTATAGATCGGTATATAAGTAAGTATTTTACTTGCTTTTACCCATTTGTATAACTAGTTATTATTATTTAAATGACTTACGTTACTTTAAAAATAAGTGTCTGTTAGGTTTAACATGTTTGATGTATCACCTTTGGAGTAAGAAAGTTTTATTGAAGTCAGACTAAACAGCAAACAATATAATGTAAAATAATGCACTAAAATTAATCGAAAGAGAATTCATTTTTGTATGCACACATTACCTTTTATTTCAGAAATGTTTAATGAAAATAACTTACCACATCTATGAGTTGTTGCAGCGTAAGGCCGAAGCTGAGGAGAAGGGGATCTGACTCATTAGCAACTGGCCTTTCAAGCACATTGTAATCCCGCATTAGGTCATTAATCAATCTTCTTTCGTTGGGGCCTTGTGATGAATCTAAGGAAACATTAGATCCATCTAGAGTTTGGAAGGCTACAGTCTCTTTTATATTTAGATGTGAAAGGTTTCATTACTGATTTCATTTTTAAAAGTGATGACTAAGGAATTTTGAATCAAACACTTTGAAAATGAGTTACTGGAGATTTATCTCAAGCCGTATCTTGGCACACCAGTGTTAGGCTATTCTACTGTATTATTAGATCCAAAGTGATCAGTTGGAGACAATTTCGGACTCGTTATGTATCTAGCCATTGTTTTTGTCAGTATTTCTAATCACAGATATGTCAGTTTGTATCAACTTGGAAATTATGGTTGGACGTATTATGTATCCAAAAATGAATAAATAAATCGTCTAAAAGCATAGGAAGAGTTTGATATGAATGATCATTATAATATTTCCACTAGGATCTTGTACTATCACAACTACTAATATTCTGATTCTTGTGTTAAGACTTTTAGCGAAAATATAGATAATATATTAATTACCTTAAGAGTTTTGTGATGTAATCTGTGAACAATTCCGTGGCGCTTACTATACAATACTATATTTCTGAGGCTAATACACGGAGTAATATTTAAATTTCTCTGGTATATCAAAACTGTATTCATATCTTATATCCATAATTATTTAATATTTCCAGAAATTTGCTTAGCTCACTCGCTACTAACATTTCTGATCATACTGTTTAATATCAATAAGCAATAAATAAGTAACATTCAATCTTGCGTCTAATGTATTCAAAACAATTATACCCGTTTCATTTACTTGTAAAGCAAATTCGAGAGCTAACATAAAGGAAACCCTTTTTGTCTGACATCAAAGACTAAAATATATATACAAGTCTTAAAAATTGTGATTAGATGTAAAATGGAAGGCGTAGAAATAAAAACTCTTCACTCTTTTCAATTTCCATTGATGAAAATGTAGAAAAACCTTCGCTAAATGTTTAGTTGTAGTTAAAACGAAAATGTAGTTACAAAATCAAACAACCAATGTTATTTTTAGGATTATACTTTAGAGAATGAAAATATATAAATTTAAGGAATACTGTATTGCCCCTAATTAACGCCCCCTCTCTAATTAAGTTTATCTTGTGTGACAACAATAGTAATCCAACATATAATCCTCTACTGTAATACACTTTATTACTGTAATTTTGACAACAATAGTAATCCAACATATAATCCTCTACTGTAATACACTTTATTACTGTAATTTTGATTCGACAAAAAGAAAAACAAATAAACACACACACACTTATTAGCATTGAAATCAATAAATCACGTGTAAAAAAATAGAATCCAGAACTGCATAAATACTATAACACCGTCTATCAAAATATGACACTGTACCAATAGCTCTTGCAGTTTACAACGCCCCGGGGGCGTTAATTAGGGCAAATACGGTATGTGTAATTTGCTGAGTATGAGCATATATGAAACAAAGCTAAACTGTTTAACTGTACATAAATATGGTAATTAGCAAAAGCTTTCAAGTATTTCCAATTTGTACACAGGAGTAGATATTACTTCTTCATAGGTTCTTTTCAATTAGAGCATGTTAGGATATCATACAAGTGTTTGCTTTGCTTGAAGTTAAGCACAAAGCTACACAATGGGCTATCTGTGCACTGCCCACCACTGGTATCGAAACCCTGTTTCTAGCGTTGTAAGGCCACAGACATACCGCTGTGCCACTGGGGGACTCATACAAGTAATCAGTTGCTAATTACTAATGAAACGATATCCTTTGAATCATTAATTCTAAGATTATCCGCGTTCAATAAACATGCTTCGCCTTGCAGCTTTTTAGTACGCTTTAATGCTTGGTTTTCTTTTAACTGTTTAGGCTATTACAGAGATTACCTTTCTGATAAACATGAAGAGATGAAGCATGATAGTTACTCATGTACATGTTTATTGATCATTAAAATAAACTTAGTCCTTAAGCATATGAAAAGTAGTATAGATTCAACTAATCGCAAGCTAAAGTACTATAGAAAGTGGAAACTTATTTTAATTGACAAGTCAGAATGCCTTAGAGCATATTTTGGATGGCAACTCATGTAAAATGCATAGTGCCATAAGTTAGATAGCAAAAATCTGGAAACAGATGGTTTTTGTTAGACTACGTCTGAGATAGCAAATTCTATTTTCTTATCAGTATGGTTGTGTTTATCGTTCATTTAATATTTCCTTCTATCGTTTATTTAATCTATGAATTTTTAGTTGCATTAAAACGCTAACTCACTTCCTACATAATAATTTGTATTATGAGTAACTATATAAGTGTGTATTGATCAAACTGACATCAACTACCCTAGCAGTGACGTACAGATACTATTAATATAGCAACAGAGTATGTAAATTTATGATCACATGAGGTTGTACTCTCGTGACCTACTCTGTAAATAAATATCCGGCCAGAAGCTTCCTTAAGAGAGACAGATAGTTACGAGATAGTTATTGAAGGGTATATATTTATTGCTGTTTGTCACTCGGTATCGAAATATATTGTTTGAATATTGTATTTCTGTTTTTTTTTTTTGGAATTAGGTTTTTTTTTGGTTTTTCTCTGATTCACTTATCATTGGCTTATTGATATCTATGATAATTTTTTTAATAATTCTGGTGTGAAGTCCTGGCCAGGCACTTGTTTATTAACCGTGTTTTGGTTGGTGTTGAATTAATTTCTAAGTGTTGTTACCGTGAATAAGTGTTTTTGTTGTTGAACCCTGATTGTAGCACTGTGTTCATGTTAGAACGTTACAAAATAACTTAAACAACTAGCTTATAGAAATGGAAAACTGTCTTGTTAACAACAAAGATGATATTTGAATGTGAATCAAGCTCCTACGTTAAGTCGTACAGTTTGGATAAATTCAATGATAAACAAAGAAACGTATAGAAAGTTAGAGTTAATAGTTTGGAAGTACGTGTAGATTTGTAGTTTTTAAGTAACTGGGAGAAATAACATAAGGGCCGCGTAATATATAAAAAAAGTCCGTTTTTTATTTTGGTTTCTATTTGAATTTATTATATCTACAATATTTTGTTACTTATTGATTATTTTGGGGATTTTTCGAATCTAAACAGTATCGCATGTCCCATGCTGTTGGGATTTAGATTTGTAGAATAAAAACCTACAACACTAAATATATAATTATATTGTCATTGTTCCTCATTTCAAAACTGCCTGAACACAAATGATTACACTAGTTTAGTATTAATACGTGTATCTTGACATTAAATATACAGTTGTAGAAATATTGGCAATTGCTGATTTGAACGTTTACTTTGTAATCAATGCTACTGAGAAAAATGAAAATATCCTTTTTTGTAGCATTCTAATTTAAAATATAATTAAAAGTATAAGTTTAGCTTTGTATATTAGTTATCGCTCGAAGAACATATAGATACTAACTGAAAAGGGCGACAATAAAGCAAAAATAAAAGTTTTCTGTTATATTAGTCTCTCAAAACGATTTCATTACCCAGAACGATCCCACATGAGCCAAACCCGCATGCAGTGTTAAGCGTACGACAAAAAGAAAAGGAACTGAGAAAGATAACGGTTCTCTTTAGAGATGACAAATGACGATTGTGGCAGTGCGTGATAACTTTGGTTTGAACGCATAAAGAGGAGAAGTATATGGAATATAGAGAAGAAAGCTTTGTGGGTGGGCGCGAAAATTGTGCATTTTATGACGATCAATTCCTTAAAGATGTAGTTTGTAGAAGAGACGCGTCGAAACAAAAGAAGAGAACAACATAACCAGAGTAGTATAATACAAAGAAAGGCAATAATGCTTTTTATTCCATGATATAACCTGTATAACTTATACGTTAAAATCTATAGAAAGAAGAGTAGTGGAGAGGACGGTGTGTTCCATATTAGTGGATTTCTCAAAACAGGATCGAATACCAATATTTATTATAAAGAATACTCACAATCAGGTTCTTGAAAAAGAATATATATATATATATATATTTCACTTTTCTGAGTGTGCAAAAGGTTTCATTTAATAAAGATAAATTAATTATTTCAAATAAATTCTTGTAATTTTAAATCAATCTTCACAATCACAATAAATTCTACTTTTATTCAACGTCTCTAGTGGTTCTCAAATCAATCAACAGACTTAGATAAATTTTATGTCTTACTTTAAAAATTGCCCCCCCCCCTAGTGGCACAGCGGTATTTCTGCGGACTTACAACGCTAGAAACCGGGTTTCGATACCTGGGGTGGGC